TGGCCAACAGTTATTCTGCTTTTGAATGATAAACAGGCTACATCTCAAGCAAGTGACTTGTTCAATAATTTACATTTAAAACATTATCAACACCGAGGCAGTACGAACCTTACAAAATAAACGTCTTGGAGTCAACTCTTTCTTTGCCACCAAAAGCCGTAAAATTGCAAACAAAAATGCGCAGTTTGATTTGAAAAAAAAAAAGAAAAGAAAAGAAACAGGACACATGGTCTACTGAGACGGGGTGGAATAGTTTCCCAGCGTACAAAGATTCCAGGATTTGGACGTTTGAATATTTCGCTAAGAGTAACACGCTTGTTATACGTAAATTAACTACCTAACAACACAATTCAACAGCCTTTACTACCAGAATCTACGCCAAATTTATCCAATGCAGTTAAGAAGTTTAGGAACTGTAAATAAAAGGAGATGTTTCAATAGGACTAACAAGAATCCAGGAGTTTTTCCGGCATTCTGTGAGTAGTGCGAGCCCTAAATACCGCACATATGAAATACTTAAAAAGGGGCATTTTTCACTGCTGTTCATTTGATCTATCTATTCAAATTTAGAAACGCAGCGCAACGCACTTTGAGTTCGGCAAAGAAAGAATTGAATCAAGACAATAAAATCTCTCTCTAAGAGAAATCAAAACAGAAAACTTCACCAGTTGTTTTAACGCGGATGTTCTTGGGCAGCACTGCTTAAGGTGACAAGTAGTCTACTGGTGAACTTGTGTGCTGCATTTAAGTTACTTTAGATCTAAAGATGAGTAGATAGTATGCTTACTATTAAAGCACTAAACATTATGTGTTTCACATAATACTCTATTCATTCCCCTGTCATCAGTCAACAGGTGGAGCATATGTGCTTCACTATGAAACTAATAAGCCACGTACCACTAACGCATCATCAAAAATGGTTTTCAATTTTCAATCCTTTGATGACCTTTGCCAGTTCCCTCTTAAGATGCTAAAGCAAATGCTAAAAGGTATTTCTAGGGTCACTGGCTGCAGCAAAAAGTAGAGTTAATCGTATTGAGTTTTTCTGCTTTCTACAAGATAAAAGGATTAACATATGGAAAAGTGAAGCTGGCCATGACCAACGTATGTTTATAAGGTGTTTAAGTAACTTATCGCCTTGTACTAAATGTTTGCTTAGTATTTGGAAAGGGTGTGACAGGGAGCAAGCATTTAGATATGAGTTACAAGCCACTGAGTAAGTTACCTTATAAGACAGGCACTAATGACGGATGTTTCAAATAAATTCAACCAAGTCGTTTGCCAAAACCACTGAAGCCAGAACCTCGTTTCAAAATCTATCTTGGTTGAAAGAGCATCGAAAAATAGACCTCGGGCCTGCGGTCTGCATTGTTAAATAAATGCTGTTGTTAGCCGCACTCCAGTATGCAGCCTTGGTAATGCTTCCCGACTTACGGCTCGCTTTGATGCTACAACGATGGCTGTGGTTGGCCATCTCAGTTATGTCTCGGTAGAGTGGAACTTGTTCACTACTTTCCTTTGGCACTGCGGTTTCACACCCATGCTGTCCAGCCTTCATACATCTGGCTCAGATTGTCCAAGCTTCGTGACTCACGGATTACAAAGTCAACCTAAACAATCACGGAATAAAGTATTTTTAGTCCTTTTCATTTAGATCATAAGCGATTTTAACCCCTTCTTTCTCATGCAGGTCAGTTACAGAGGGATGAAATGTTGTTGTAACGTTTGCGTCTATGGATACAATCCTGTATAGTGTTACCCTTTAAACGAATCCTCTCAAGTAGTACTATATTTCGCTTCTTTAAAAAAACAAAAATTTTGAATTTTCTTAAATCTTCATATTGACCACTGTTATGAGTGAATGGGCAAGCAATATTCAAGAGCGTAGTGAAGCAAGAACAAAGCGTAATCTTGGCCAATTCGCTAAGTCGACCATACCCTCCCACCATTCCGTCTTAGCCACAGAAGAGAAATCCTGTTTTCACACCCTTAAAGTTTCTCGATCAAGAGTTTGTTCACAGTTCAAATGACAGGTGAACAGTTCACTAACCTGGTCTGCAATGGACATTTTTTTGTTATTATCTTGATCTCTGCCATCCAGCTTAGACTTCACGCGTCGCCATACACTGATGGCATAGGTATTCCTCTCTTGAAGAGCTGTTACAAAAAATCACAATTAACGACCATCGCATGTGCGGGATGTAACAGGCTACTGTTGCCTTTTAGCTACTATGAAAAGTCTCCACTATCGTCATTCTTTACACCAGTATGTCCTAAGCTTTACTGATTTTTGGGAATGACGGTCTTGAGATACTAACAAGACGTACCTGAGCCACAAAGCAAATAGGACTTTCCTCTTTACACATAACGCACAATGTTTCTCCCAATATCAAAACCCTGAGAAGTGGGTGGCAAAAATGAAGCACAGCAAAGCTAAAATAAATCTCCTTCACGGTGGTGATATCCTTTATTTTCACTTTATCAACTATTAACGAGTTCGAGAAAACGAATGAACCCCATCATTCAAAACATCACAATTCTTAACCAAACATACACACACACAGTGCGAAACGCAATGCTTAAATACTACTCTGGCTCATACTACAAGTAGACATGTACCTTTTCCCGTTCTGGGGTCTCTTGCCAGATTTGTGGTTGATAATCGTTTAGGGCTTGCCACTGCCATCTGTCTGGACGAAGCAGTTGGTGAACCAGCGCCGCCGGATGGACTGGCTGTCATGTCCCTCTGTAGGATAACTGGATGAGAAGAGACAGCACTATCTGATGCCACAGGATCTTTACTACCTTGTACAGCAACACTGCCACCTTGGCGAAGAGCTGAAGGATAAGAGAAATGCAATAGACTCACTTTACACAACGCCACACCAATTACTGAAGGTTCATCAAGAGAACTACAGTACTTTGATTTAAAATACAACAAATTGCCAAACATTAGCATTTAGTACCGCATCCCTCGCCAAGGGAGGTTCCTCGCAGCAGTAACAAGGCCTCACAGGATTGGTTGGGATGACAATGAACGAACAAAGTTAACCCACTAAGCCCTAATATCCACATACAAATTCTCCAAACTGAACTCTATAGATTTTCTTTAAGAATCAGTTGAGAGAATTTAATAAAAGATCACGGCATTTTCTCTTTGGTGATCATTCAACTAATTCTCATAACCTTATCTCTTAACAATGTATTAACATTGTCAGGGGAAAATTGAAGTTGGTCACTATTGGCACTTAACAATGGAACCTAGCAATAAAACAACAGAACTGCAACACAATTGGGTTCAAATTATAACATTTTAGGTTTAAAAGAGGTATGAGGCTACTGCCCACAAGTAGGGTTCTTTTACACACCTGGGTGTATAGAGAGAGGGGATTAGGAGGGTTTCTTCCTAAAGAAGACAATATCGTGGCATTTTTGTTGTACAAAGCATATATTTCACAGTTGTGGAGAGACTATTGCTGACAAAGGGAAAATAATTTAGTTCAAGTTATTAGTTACCTGATGCAAATGTGGGTGGTGGAGCTGCAATGGGTGTTTTTCCTCCACTGGAACCAGAATCATCAGGAACAAGAGGTGAAGCCAGTGACAGAAGGTGGTCATGAACCCTACAAATAATAAACAAATATTGATGTATAGAACTAAGAACCAAAAAACAAACTACCCAGAGGAGAGGACAGGTCTCACCAGTTACGTCACTTCACATTCACTGATTTTGTGAATGTATCTATAGCCTCCGACGCAGACGTTCTTAGGGTTTCCGCGCATTCCTTCCTCACGAAGGAAGGAGGGAAGGAACATGCGTTTGCGACGAAGCCCTAAAAACCTCTGCGTGAGAGGCTATTGTGCTTAAGGTCCGGTTTAAACGTCGCATTTCACATGTGCCAAATTTAATGCTAGCGAGAAAATTGTATTCTTCTCGCTCATTTGTGTTAGAGACGGTACATGAGAAATGCGACGTTTAAACAGGGCGTTAGGCGACTTGAAACCACATGTGATTCAATTTTAAGTTCAACTTAGAGGAATTTAGCTATGTACAAATCAAGCTACTTGCAATCAGCTGATTTTCACTTGTTTTGAACGTCTGATAATCATAGTGGATTCCTGCTCTTGTTTCTTTCGAGCACCCACCCACCCCACCCACCCCACCCTCGTTATTACCTAATCTCGTACCCAGATCTCTTGTCGACGAAGCCGACGCCTCCCAGTGGCACAAGCAACACAAATGGTAAGTAGAAATAGCTAATGCGGTATATTAATGATTGAACTAAAGGCTCGATACATAGCAGGCAAAGGGCGGAAAACTGGTTTGCTTTGTACAGGGATGGGGCATAACTTACCACTGCACCAGAGATTTGATAGACTTCCCCATGGCTTTTACTTCCATTATGTTGTCTTCTAAGTTGTCCCTTCCATCACTGATCTTTCCAGAACACACTATAAAATAGAGAAACACAACATGGAGATTATTCAGTTCGTGAAGAATTGCAAGAAGTATCTCTAAGGGAACTTAATACATGCAAACTAAAGCAAGCTTTAAAGTGTCTACCCAGTCGTGAGTAACTAGGAACTGCTGAAGTGAAATGTGCACACACCTGCTAAGATGCTCTTAATAAGCTGAGAACACTCCTCTGATTGGCGGTTGTGTGTTGATATAAACAGCTTAGCTGGGCGGGACTCTGCAGCCTCTTCATCCTGAACCAATACAAACAATCATAAGAAAAGCCTCTCAATTGCGGAACTCGAATTGTATCATGCTTCTTGTTACACGTTCAGTTCAGTTCAGTTCAGTTTATTGTTTTGCCATAAGATTTACAGAAAGAAGAAAATCTAAATACCTTATTCTAGGAAATTAACAATGCAAGTTGACAACGCGAAAAAAATTTACGTTACACTAAATTAACGCGAACTTTTCAAAAGTTAAGTTTACATGCATTAAATTAACGCGAATTTTTCGATGAACATCTTACTTTATTCAACACAAATTTGCTGCACTTACAAAATCTCAACATACATATATGTCAAGGAGAAAAAGAAGCATTTGCAGTCATTGTTACCTATGATAATGTTCAGGTTATGCCTCTGTAAATGATCTAGCGAAATTTTTTAAAATCGCGTTAATAAAGTGCATTGTCAATTTTCTAGAATAAGGTATTTAAAAAGCTCATGGCGAGGACGCCCAAGGGAAACAACCGGGCTTATAAGGAATGGGCTCCATCAGTTAAATTATTACAACAAAATATGAACGTTACCTGAGAAATGAAAACCTTACCTTTGCCATTGTGGTGAGCATAGATTTCACTTCACCAATGAGCTGCTGATGGGACACCATAACGGTCTTCACTGTACTGGCCTGTGACTTGATGGATTCCTGGCGGATGATAGGAAAGATGAAATGATTACATGGAACCACGATATAACGAAAGGCGAATTGGCAAAATGTGATCGCCATTTCGAGGTTTTCTTTTTCATGTTTTACTATTGCTTTGGTGAAGAATATCGCTCGTTATGGCGAGGACTTCGTGATATATATAATTTCTTTATAACGTGGTTCCACTGTACAGTCAACTCTCGCTAAGTCGGACACCTCTGGGGCCGGTACTAAGTGTCCGTCTTATAGAGAGTCAAACAAAGGGAGTAAAGAAAGGCAGGGAGCAACTCTAGGTGCTCATCTTATAGAGAGTCAAATAAAAGGAGTAAAGAAAGGAAGGGACCAACTCTAGGTGTCCGTTATAGAGAGGTGTCCGTCTTATAGAGGTGTCCGTTAAGAGAGAGTTGACTGTATCTCTGTTCAAACAATCACTCAAATGGACTATAGCTACTAGGGCTCCATACAGTTGACGTTTTCCTGCGCATCTGCACAAAAGTCTTTAATCTTGTTCCGGGAGACCCAGTCTACTAACCGCAACTTGCATATCCTCCATATCCTCCAAATGGTAAATAGGCAGCCACTGGAAGTGCCACTTTCTTCTTAATAACGTTCAGCAAGTGTTCCCAAACGTTTGAGATTTTACTTCAGTAAACATCGTTTTATCTATAATTCTTCACTACTTTCATTCATTTACTGCCTATCTTTGATCAACTTACTCTATTACTCATGATGGCTTGGGTAGCCTGTGACTTCCTAGTCTTGATGGAGGCCACATCCTGACCAACGGTCTCTAACTTGTTCTTCATCCACTCCAAAGTAATGGGTGCTTCTGGCGGATATGACACCTTCACTTTCTTTGCAACCTCTGCAATGTCATGAAGCTTTTTCGAACAGTTCTCTAGCTCGGCAGAGCTTTGCTGACATCTAAAGAGAAAGCAACAAATAGAATTAATAAAAATAAAGTTCTTTTAACCTCTGTCGAATCTAAGGCAAAAGAGCGTGGACAACAGATTTTGTTGAGTAACATACATTCGGACGACTTTAAAGTTCAACGTTTTTTGTTTCCCCTTTTTTGGTGGCATGACTCTAAAAATAAGTGTACAATCAGGGCTGACGGATGATAGTAAAGAGATTGTGGACCTTAGACCACGTCATAGTTTTCAATCGAAGAGTCCTTAATTTATATGCCGTCACCTAATACCGGGACCGGACAAACATCATACAGTGTGATCATTTATTTAAAACTGTCTTTGGAGTAACACCCATTTGCAATGAGATGAGAGAGCTTACAAAACGACAGCGACAGAAAACGAAACGTCTTATGAACAAAACAATAACAACCTTCCAAGTTCAAAAAGAGACATACTAATCGAAGGGTGCTGAAGTCCTCAGTAAGACGTCACACTCGGAAGGAAGGTGAAAACGCAGCCGTATAGAGATTGAAAAGCGGACGTCGTGAACACCAGCCCTACGAACGTTACTATATTTTCAGAACTTTCAAGTAAAAACTAATAATTTTCCAAAATTTAATAGACAAGCAAATAAACGAGAATTTTCTTTCTCCGTATTCTTGCGAGATCTTAGGTTACGCATAATTAGATTTAATTAGAGGACAATCTCCGTCAAAAAGGAAACTGCACAAATTAGTATGTGTAAAGTTTACCACTGCTCACTTTAATCCCTTATTAAAGTGCTCATATGGTAAACTAATGGATAATTATAGTACCCACTGCTTAATGCAATCGTTAGAACCTAAAAACTGTACAAATAGCTGGATCGTATCGATCAAGAACTCCTGCACTCTCTCGAACGTTTAGAGCTTAAATTTGGCTTAAGTTCAGAGTTTTTCGACAAAATACCTGTTAGAACCCTTCTTGGTGTTCTCTTCGTGTATTCAGGTTTTCTAAAGCGTCTTTTTGTGCCCTGACATCTTCATTCATGACATTTTAAAACTTCGTCGCCATCTTGACACTGAGACGTACGTTAGGTTGCCATGGCAATATTGTAATTCCACATGTGAAATTACAAATTAACGCTGAAATTTCGCGTCAAAATTAAGGAGTAATTCGTCACCTATGATATTACTCAAGAATAATTACCTTTTGACCAAGCCAGTCATAGCATTATCTATTGCAAGAGCATCTGCTGTTTGTGTCCGTAACGCCTCACAGTGTAGAATGGCATTTGACAAGCTACATATGTCTGAAGAATGTTTTCCTTCAACCTGGAAACGACAAACGCGCACGTTAACCCTTTCACTGCCAGAGTGAATGTTGAAGTCCCTGAGGTAGTTCTAACTTTTGAGTCTGTGGACAAAATCCTATGATGTGACCATTCAAATGAAACCTTTCTGCCTGTACTTTCAAATGGTGCTATTTGTTTCCAAAATTTTACAAAACCAAATTTGGGAATTTTTGTTGCATTTTGCCCTTGGCCACACTTGGCACTGAAAGGGTTAATTAGAAACTAACAAGGCGCAATGATAAATATTCTTAACATGGAATACGCTTAAATGCGTTTTCTAGATACATGGTATATGCACAACACTTCAAACAAAAAAAGCCAGATCCTCTTCAAGGTAGGTCTGCAAAATGACGAGGTGAACAAAAAAAACTGTGGTATGCATGCACTGGTAAAAACACAGAGTTGGCTCACAGTCTAAGGCTGGTCAATTATGGACTGGAATACTACAGCCTGTACATCACCATGAACTTACAGTCATTAGCTTCTTCCTCGCAGCTAGTGTCTGCTCGAAGTTCTGCAGCACTGGATTCAGGGCGGGGTTCGCACCGGCCGCCCACTTGAGGCGCTGTTCTATACTGGATTCCTGTGCATTAAATTTCTCTTCCACTGCCTTGATGAGCGAGTCCATGTGAAGCAACCCTTGAACACGCTTCTTTAGGTCAGCCATAACTGTTGCCCTAGCTGGTGTGATCATGTTGTTTCCTCGCATGGGACACTGTAACAATTCATCTTCATACAGCCACTAATGATACATAACACACAGACAAATATACTTTACAAGGGGCAATTATGCTGTTGTAGAAACGTTATCACTGAGAGGCAAGTGTCTTAAATTTGCTTCCTAAGTTGACGAAAGAGCCTGGTCACATGAGGTGACTGGGGCCATGAGAGTCAGCAGCTATGGAGTATTGGCACTCAGTTCCTGGGATCACTCATTTCACTGACAAACTTAATAAAAAGTTCGTTCAGTATGCGGGAAAAAGAGGAGTACGGTCTGTACCTAACAGCCGAAATAGAATCTCGAAAATGCATTTTCATACACAATTACCCAGCTTTTTTCAAAGTAAAAGTTGGAACCCTTATTATAAATAGATCGATGCGGTTTTAAAAATAAACACAATGCGTTCACGAACCATGGATTTTCCCATCAAACATCCTGAAAAATTCAACCTTAGACAATAATCGTTACCTGAAATCTTGCTAGTTGAAGTTGTGCCCTCTGTACGACACCTTTGTATATGTTCATGTTGTTATCCAGGCGTCTGAAAGAGGAACAAGATTCATTAACAACTACATATGTTAAAGTAGGTGCCGAGTTTTACTGGAATGTCCCTGTGGCGTAAATAACCTTAACATCAGGTCTTACTTAGGGGTACAAAAAAGGGGAAATTTGAAAAGACAAAACGTGGAGAGAGGGAAAAGAGAAGCCTGATTCTCAGACTGTGGCGTAAATATTGGTCATAAAGTGTAGGTTTTAAATTCTTTAGTGAAGGAGGAATATCAAAATAACAGTTTCGACTTATTCCAGCTTTTTTCTGTTACTAATTAGCATTGTTAGCAACTCGAAGGTAAAATAAAATCCGAGCGTTAAAAAGAGTCTACCATTTATTCTGATAAACAAGTGACTAAGAACTTTTTTAAAAAATGTATCACGTCTTCCTGTGCGGTCAACAAAATGATAACTGTTACATTACTGGCGAGGAGTTGTGATGAAACCCAACCAGGGCAATCCTGACTATCCTCCCGTTCCCTAATAAGCGAACTTGCATCCTCATCACCAGAATAAGGGCCGCACAGAAGTGATGTTATCATTGAAACAAGATGGGTTTCAAAAGCTCGGCCGTATCTTACACAATCAAAGATTTGGTTATGTCTTTAATGACTACCATGCAAAAAAACCCTATAATATGCAGTATGTAGCTGTTACACTCGCCATGAACGAGAAACATTGTAAGGGATAACATCCGTTACATACTTAGCAAAATCATGTTTTCTCCACGCCACATCATAGGAACTTGTCAAAGTACTCATTTGGGAGAGCTGTTTTGATTTTATAAACCCACTGGACACATTGGTATCAACAACCTAGCAAACCAAACAGAAAAGTGTTGATTTTATTTTCAAACAAAGTTGATCCTTTTTAACAACAGAAACATAAGTGCTAACCGTAGTACTAGGTTACATTTAGCCATGAAGTATGCAAATGAAAAATGATGAGGATAGAGAGAAATATTGCAATAAACTTAAAATAGCCTGTGAACAGGTTCTCTGTTTGGGGGAAAGTGTGAAAAAATCGCGGGGAGAAGGGAAGGTAAAGGCTAGCTTAAAACAACAAGAAGGAATGTTAACAGGCTGGAGGCAGGCAAGTGACAGGCATCACCGAGGAGTTTAACCGAAGGCAACAGAAACTGAACTACCCCAACCAAGCCAAAGTAGGATTTAAAACCGGAAGTTGGAATCTACTGTCCGAAGCTATTCAGCCACACCGTCTCCTTACTGTCCTCGTAAAGGTACCTACCTTCTTGCAGTGATCCTCCAGAGAAACAGCACCTTCATCACTGGAACTCTCATTCTTATTTCCCAGGATGCTGGCGAATGTGATGACCACTACAGCTAACGCCTGTGATGGCAAGCCCATGATGCACTGCTGCACGCAATCAGCTATGAGATGCTTGACATGCAAAGCCAGATCATCTTCACTGTAACAAGTCTCTGGGTTCCATGTTTTGGTTTCAGCACATATGTTGTTTGTGTTGACGAACAAGTTGTGTGAAGCTTTTGTTGAACAATTTATGGCTCCTTGTTTGCTCCCTGAACTAGACACACCTAAACCAGAGTAAAATCAAGGCACAATTAACTTGTGGCTCAGATTAATGAACTCTGGTCAAAACAGTGGAACCTCTGCTACAGGACAGTTGACTGCGGTCCCCATATATTTTAATACTAAAACCCCCATAACAAGGCACACCTTGTACGCGGACAAGGACACCCTTTTCCGGGTCGGAAGAAGCTAAAACAATCTTAGCAAAACAACTCACACCACAACGAATAGGTCCTTATAACAAAAAAACGAATTGTAACAAGCGAATGCAAAAGATTTTTGAGTAAGGCTATAGTTCTTCAGTTAAACATATCAAGAATTAGGGTAAATCAAATTTTTCCTTGATCTTTTAAGTACTTGGAGTTTATCTAACCTAAGCCTTGGCTAGAGATTGCTTGCTTACCACTTTCCACAGGTTGCACTATCCCTTTCACATGTTTTCCTTCTAATTTTCACTGTTTTGTCTTTACTTAGGAAAGAACGTCAAAATTGTAAACAGGGATAGTTCAGGTACCTTTCAAAGAAAGTGTAAGCAGCCTACAGCTCTTGAAGAACGAAATGATAACTTCCAGCCTTTTGAGGAAGAACAGCTTGCCGAGGAGCTCAGCATTTTTAGTACCATTTGTCAGCTAAAAGAGACAAAGAAAAAAAGTATTTCAGAATACCGGTAGATTAAAGTTATAGCATCACTGTACTTTAAAGTATACAAAACAACTCATCTTAACTTCTTAGCACAAGCGCAAATAGCGTTTCAAATACGCAGCACGTGTCGCACGAAATAGGTAACAGATCTGTCTTTTCTTACTTCTATTAGTTGCCTGTTGGTACATTTGTGAGATTTAGCGCCTTATTTAAAAAGATAAAATCTACCTGCTAACTCAATTTGGTTTGTTTTCACAAATAGTACATACTTGTTTGTTTTCGCAAGTAGTAGATACATAGACATCACGAATTGTTACAGTACAACGAACTTAAAGGGGGTTAACCAACTTTTATCGACAAGTCACGAGACATGTTCACGACAAAGGGAATCTTACTTTGATAATTCGTTAGCCGATCAGAAGCGAGTACTTTTCTTTCAACTGAAGTGTCTGTGGACTGGTGAGTTCGATGTACGGTGATAAGGTTTTGAAAGAGAAGAATGCATCTCTTTTTTATTACTGTCTTTCCCCCCTTCTTATCCAAGTTAGACCCTGTTTTCATGGAGTGGGGAACCCCGGTCTAGTGGGGTTGGTTTCTTTTGTTTTCACGCTCTGAGGGACACAAAACAAAAGAAACCTACCCCACTAGACCGGGGTCCCCCACTCCATGTAAACAGGCCCTTAGAATAACTCACTGTAAGTGCCAACTTCGGAACAATTCAATACGCCAATGATGAGGTGAACAGATATAAATAATTTAAAATGGCAGTAGTGAATTTTATACACATGTCAAAATCTTCTGGCGCACTGCACCAATTGGTGACATAAACAAAGTCATGAAAATTGCTTGGAATACGCTTATCCCGTGTAATACACGTTATTAAGAAAAACCTTACCTGAAGATCTTGTGCGTCTTTAACAATATCAAACTGCAGCTCAAACTTATCGAAGTGCACTTGTTCAAAAGACGTGAACATGTCTGTAAGTTCACCCGCAACTTTGGTGAAGAGTCCATTGAAGCCTGCAAGCAACATCTGACCTGAAGTCATGGAGCCGCTACTGTCCTCGCCTTATAACCGAAAACAAAGGACGAAAATTGCCATTATTATTAAGGTTTTCTAACATTTCCATAACAGTTGAACCTCTCTTTAGGGTAATGTTACAAGAGACGATTCGCAACGACGATTTTTTGCGCAACATAGCGTTGCATGATTGTTGCGACATTGTTTCGAATAGTTACAACACTGTTTCAACACTGCAACGTTGTGCTGGGCTAAAAATCACCATTGAAAATCGTCCCGTGTAACATCACTTTTAGGAATACCTGATTAATGCCATCACCCACTTTGGGCTTAACACGGATAGTCTTTGTCATGGAAAAGACCTCGAACATTTTTTTCTTCAATTTGCCCACTTAAGACGGACACTGGACACTTTGTGATTCGAGTGAAATGCTATCTCGCAAAGAACACTGGTGACCACACACTATATACACTTATTAAGGGAGAACCTGACAAAGCTGTATTTAATCGCTCTAACTGAACTGCAAACTGAAAATGACTGTGCAAGCTAGGTCAAGGGTTATAAAAAATTGTACATTGCCTTGTTAGTACGCTCACACACAGGATTAACATTTAAAGCCGTCTCTGCCGTTATATGAAAGGAAGTTAATAGAATAAAGTACACCTTAAAATCAAACATTAGGACATACAGGGCAAGTGATGCTTCAGACACGAGTAGATGGAAAACGTAATTGCAAAGCGGTGTGTTATTTTCAATGATATATTTCTAATCTACCTGAATCTGATCCGGAGTTTTTGTTGGTATGTAACAGCTTCTCAAACTCAGCACTTATTTCTTGGATTGCTGTATCGACCTCCTCCGCACTATGCACCTAAAAAAAGGGTCAACAAAATCAGCGTAAGTTACAAAAATTTGAAGACGACAATATGGGGTAGCGGAAGAGATGTAGTGCAAGAGAAAACGATGGCAGAAGAGAGAGGTATACAACTAATTTGGTGTCTGCATTACCTTCAACTTCTACAATAAAACCGATTAAAGAATGGATTCGAATAAAAAAGATCAATCTAGCTATGGATTAAAGGTGCTTGGTGGATCTAAGGGAACTGCGTCGTTGCCATGTTAGGAGGGAGGATGATGTACGTTTTCGAAGTTTAGCGGGCGGACACTTGGGGCCGGTCAGTACGCGTCTTAGAGATAAGAACGACAGTGAATGTTTTCTTGACTAAAATCACCTTCGATTGGTTTAACAGAAATTACATTTTCAAAGATGTGCACATCTCTACAGACTGACAGCCTCGCAGCTTCGTTTCAAGCCTCTCTAAATAATTGACGTCGTAGGCTGAAGGCAAAAGAATAAATTTTATTTTCTGTCCCTTTATGTTAAGTCAACCAACCTCGGTCGCTGCATGTTTTTCCAGGAGACGAGCCTCAATGCTGTCAGCCAGTTCTTTCAAACTCATCTTTTGTGAGCATACCACCTTTTCGAGCTGTTGGACAACAGCAAAGACAGTTGGATCCTCGGCGTAGATACTTTTTACTGCCTCTGGAACAATGATTGTCCTGAAATTTGTCATCAGTTCCTATTGATCAAACAGCATCAGTCAACATAGTATTCTTTGGACTGAAAAAAATTCATTCACAAGGTTAGGCAACAAAAAAAAAACTGAAATTGAAGATCTTTCTGTACCTGCAACGCCACAAACACTTTCTGTACTCCCAAGACAGCTTTCATGGAATTCTGCGCCCGGCTTAACAAAGACTGTTGATCCTCTTTCACCTCCTGTTACCAAAGAAAAGACGAGCATGTAGTACATGCTTTGGATTCTTGGGGTACAGCAAGACCAAAACAGCTTTTATGTTTTACAACTCTGAAGGTTTTTTAATTGAAGAGGTGAGTGGAAAATAGCCTTAGAGGACTTAAGATAAACTGCCAAGAATTTCCTTCCAAGTTGTCTCGTGTATGCGTATGAAGAGGAGATTTGGTCCTTAGCAGCTAAACAGTCGCATGGGACAAAATCACCATGCCGGAGAGCAACAGACGAAATGGGGCAAAGGAAACAAAGAGCTAGAATTACTTAATAAGCTAATTTTATAGGTGACGAATTACTCCTTAATTTTGGCGCGAAATTTCAGCGTTAATTTGTAATTTCACATGGGAAATTACAAAATTGCCATGGCAACCCTCTCATACGTCTCAGTGTCAAGATGGCGACGAAGTTTTAAAATGCCGTGAATGGAGATGTCAGGGCACAAAAAGACGCTTTAGAAAACCTGAACACACAAGAGAACATCAAGGACTCTAACAGGTATTTTGCCGAAAAAGGCTGAAAAATTCTGAACTTTATAAGCCAAACGGGTCTAAACATTTGAGAGAGTGGAGTTCTCGGTCGATACGATACAGGATAAACATGTAAAAAATCCAAGATTGCTAACGTAATTCGTCACCCATGATATTAATAGGTAATCAAATTGTATACTCGTGAAATTAAGTGAAATTATTCCCTAATATCACTCGTCACTATTTGATTACACATACAAATTTCCTTTCTTTTCAAGGTCCCGGACGAAGTCAGCGAAGTGTTTTCGTAACACGTGCCTCTTTAACTGCAAAGGGCTCATTTGGCGTGCCACCAAGAATTCAAGAGTAAAAATTTGCCTCTCACTTACCAAGGGGTAATCCTTGAGCAGCAAGAGAAGCTGATTAACATTACCACTCATGGAACAAAGCTCGTCAAGAAACCAGTCTCCTTCTCTTGATGTCAGATCAGATAATCTGTCCTTGGCCACTATACGAAAAACAATACTGGTTGTCAACTGAATGATGCTGTTTAATATCACGTCTCACAACATCACCAAATAAGTAAGATTATTCGTCTCATAATGACCCGTATTCACATGAATCTGCAACAATACCCAATATAGTGCAACATTGCCTGCAATATTGCGCGCAACATTGCTAAAGAGAATGGAGATTCATATAATGAGCCACCAATGGAAAAGAAACAATTCTTCATACTCCGACGAAATTTAGATAGTTCCGTCAAACGCTTTCGAAACCCATCTAGCCCTAGATTAGGTATAATATCTCCCCAACTATTTACGGAGCACGTTGTCAGCCTCATAATCGAAACGAGGCTCCAAATATTAGTGACAAAAACAAAAAGAGATGTGTGAAAGGTTTGAGCCCAGGAGTCATTTCAAAAGTAGGTTGAGTTTGATCGTCCTGAATAGGACTGTTGTTGTTGACAGTGACTGACGTTTCGACAACCTGTGCGGTAGTCATCTTCAGAGTCGAGATGTATTAGGATGGTTTCCGAAAAGTTTGCGGGACTTTCCAAATCTCTTTGCATTGAATTTTTGATTTGAACAACAAAATCAATAAGGAATACAGCCACATCTGCTAGCTATGCAAGCCTCAAAATTTACTTTTGGAAAAATGGTTATATATTTCTTAGTTTCCAAACCTTTTGCTGTGTTCTCCATTGCCAGACACCTTTTATTGAGAGAGCACAGTGCAGTAATCAGTACACAAGCAAGACATCGAAAAGATGTGGGTTGCTGCTTCCCTGTAAAACAGTGTCAAATATATCTGTTAGTTACAAGAACCACAACACTCCTAAATAACAAAATGCAACTCTACTGGGAAATTCATGAGGTATGCCAAATCTATGCGATTAATGATAATACATCGCGGATTTGTGCATCACTTGAGGTGACAAAGTTAAACTCATTCTTGTGGACATAAGTAGCATAGTAGGGATGTTTTTGGCCTTTCTCCAGATGACTACTGCCTTATCTACAACATTTGCCACATTTGTTGAAACACTTGTCACGTTACTTCCGTTACGCCCTCGCCAATGTTGATTCACGTGTTAGCCATTTGCAAATAAAAGCTATTCTCAAGATTGGGGAAGGAGAGAGGGAGTATACAGAAAGAAAAAATGGCCAAGTTAGTTGAGAAGGCATGGCATAAGAAATCTTCAGTTTCAGCCTAGTGTTTCATGGAATTTTCACAAGTATATTGTGCTATACACAGCAATGATTTTCTAAGCAATCTTACCGGTAAGATGTTTCTTCAAAGCTGCATATGCTTCACCGACAGCTTTGCTGAGGAATGCTGTCTCAACACTTTCTTGCTTTCGCCGCTCAGAAAACTAGAAAATACGCAATAAGATCACAATATTATCTATAATTTTGTAAAAACCGCTACCAAACGAACCAAATAGTACTATACAAACGCACTGCTGAAAGCGTTTTCTTTAAATGGTAAAGGCAAACAGCCCTATGATTTTCACCTTAGACTCAACACGTATATGTGCAAAAGGGGCCCAAAACACTGGATGATACTTAGTCTGAGAGAGAAAGGTTATAAAAAATATCAACAGTAACTACCTTGATAAACTTGGCATTCTGCTCAGTCAAACTACTCTGTAGTTTCACCTCCATGGCCATAAACCCAGTTACTTCTGCTAGAGTCAGAGGACTGTCAGCTACCGGCTTACTATGTACCTTTTCACTTGTCTCTAACACAGCCTGGCAACTATAGGAAAAATATGAATCCTTTATTCCATAAGGACAACATCATACAGCACCCATCCAAAAAGGAGAACCGTGAGATTTTTTATCCACGCTAACTTTCTCAAGTCAAGTCACATGTCACATTTCTTTACCGTGGGAGATAATGATTAAGTTGAGACCAGTTAACCTTTTAAACCCTAATATTGAAATTGAGATTCTCATGTACTGTCCATATAGTAGTGGGGGGAATGTGTTGAAATATCAATTAGACTCATCTTCCCTGATCATGTACTCAATTCTCAAGACCACTTCGTTTTCTAAAGCATTGATATTGTAAGGAGAAATTTCATGCCGATCATCTTAGGGCTTAAAGGGTTAACGCACGCTTATCTTCTTTCAAAAACAAAACAAAACCCTAATATTACAAAATGTTATTTCACTCGTACTTCTTTGTTGACGAATCTTGTACTATTGACTGAAGCCAGCTCTGCCACTCGTAACTCCTGTTCTGTTGTACATAATCAGGCGGAAACTGCAGACAAACCACATCTTAGATTAATAAGCTGAGTATGTTATGTTCATTGGGATATTCACAATCTTTATATAACAATCATCAAACCCAGAAGGTTTTACGTTACTGTATAAAAGTGAAATAAATGAAAAGCCGCAAATCTTATCACATACAAGAGTTGTCACAGTAGCATAGGTATGGAGCAGATCCAGACAAGTACGGAACATGGTGCGTCGCTGGTGAAGCAGGCCCGACAGTTCAGTTTCCAGCTGTTCACACTGTATATAAACAAAAGACCTACATTAGCACAAAACTAGATAAAACAAACCCAATCAAAGAGCAGCTATAGGAGCGTTTTTAAGAAATAATCAGCGGAGGGAATCAATTTACAATTCGTGAATTCATACGTCTTTAAAATAGGGAGCACTTGTCCGTCCTTGACTGTTAAGGGACAATGCCACCAAGATTCAGTCCCAGCTGATCATCAAACATGAGTATCAATATCAGAGGAAATTTACCAGTATTAGCTGGTACATTCCTGTTTAAAGTTATTACTATAGAAAAAAAAACCCGAAGTGGTTTTTGAACTACATTACATATTGTTACATTGCACTATGGACGGGCTGGACGGATGTATACTGAAACTTGTGAGTCGAACCGGCCGCCGTTATCAATTTTTAATCGCTTTTTTTGGAGGGTTGGGGAGGGAAGAAAGCATTGATGCACCATTTTTTGATGAATGTTTCAATCACCTGGTTCACTATGTGCCCTTGGCCAGCACCTTGAAGGAAGCTTATGGCTGGAGCAAAACTTGGAAGACCTGTGAGGCAATATAATGAAAGATCTTAGTCACGGAAGTTTGAAATGACAGCTACGTGTATCAGCTGCTTCGCAACTGAGTCATTCCATTGCTAACTACGGATAATATGCACCAGGAGGGCCGGGCATGTGCAGTGCATGCTTCAAGATTCTTGGGATTTTAAAGTATAGCTGTTGGTTAGCACCACATCTTCTAAAAATAATCTTAGCCTAAATATGTCACACAGGGTGCTTATTAGCCACTCCGTCTTTCAAATTTGTCTTGTTGCTGCCTGGGCGCATCTCTGTTTATTTATTTTTTAATGAATATTCTTTCATGCTTTGCGTTGCAAATGACTTTCTACTTTAGATTTACCCACGCTGTGTAAGGCAGGTATTAAATACTCATTCCCGTGTTACTGTACCTAGATCCAGTGGCTGAAGAAGTTCACTAGCAAGAGATGCCAGTTGTGGTCCATGAACTGTTACCATTGCAGCCTTTCAACAACAAACACATCAGTTCGTAAGTAGACGGCAAGAGCAAGGTGCGAGAAAAGCAATCATTAATACATTAACGTCATTGAAGGGACACAGCATTACATGATAAAAATAGCTACCACCATAGATTACTAAAAAACTTGACTGGTCGAGTGTAATCAAGAACCCTAATAGTCTTCTAAGGAGAAAAGATGGTCCAACTGCGTTTAAACTTGTCCTTTTTTTGCTCTTGGGGTTACAAACATATTTACAACGCAAGATAAGTTATTTCTGGAGTCGTGATCAGTCACAACGTCACACGTCGTACAAGGACCATGGACCTGCATGTAAAAGTTGAGGTGTCATTGGAAAGATTACGTTTATCGGCTTGTTCCAACAAGAATAATAAAAATTTCCATTAGCTAGGGTAGTGGTTTTTGTACCTTGTGTTGGGCTTGCCATTGTTGACATTCAGCAAGTTTCTCTGAAATGGTTTGTAACACTGCATCATGATCAGTCAAAAGCTTCTTTTTCTCATCAAACCTTTGGGGAAAAAAACAATTATAATTCTTATCATCAAAAAATAGAAGGAATAGCTTACATGGTGAAACTTGTAGCTTGTCAAGTAAAAAGTCCAGTTTTCCATAATGATAAACCGAACACGTATAACAGCTTGAGTCGGGATTTCCCTGACAGGGGAGGATCTAGGGGGAGGGTGCAGGGGGTGCGCACCCCCCCCCCCCCCCCCCCAAACCCCGCGGCGGTCTTAAAACCACCCACACCCCCACAAAAAAAAAAAAAAAAAATGAGATATTTTATGTTTGAGAAAGAAAAAAAAAAAAGAACCACCCACCACAAAAAAACACACAGACACC